TATCAAGGATTAAAAGTGAGACAGACGAGATATTTAATAATAAGCAAGCAAGAAAAATGAGACAAGTGGATCGAGAAAGAAAGAAGCACCATCACATTAACTCAATGTCTTTACTTGATATTATTTTTTAACCATTCATGTGGAATGTTGGAGGAGCTTCTCTATCAAATCCAAGTAACAGTCAATCACTTTATCTATAATTACCTTGTAATAATAAGAAAATCAGTTTTGCTGGTTGTACAGAAAATTGTGCACACAGAAAATTGTCAGAACACACACAAAACAGGTGGAGCCTACAAATGGAAAAATACTAGGAATATATGGACCATCATTATTGTTATACCTAATCCACTACATTATATTTAATCAAATTACACTTTTGACCACAGCTTTTTGGTACCTTTTTTAACATAAAATAAAAATTTTACATATTACTTTCTTGAATTCTTGACATTGACTAAAAATAAATTCTAATATTAGTATTTTTATATTGAACTGTGTGCATGCAAATGGGGTCACAAATCTTTATTTATTTTTATTTTTATTTCATGCTTTATGAATTTATTAAGAGAATTAAAATTTAAATGCTTGTATTGCGACTTGTCAGGTCTACTGACTATATGATCCATTCGGGGTTGCAGTGATTTATAACAAATTCAAAAGTCAGGCCTTTTGTTGAACATGTTGAGGTGTTGTGTGGGCTAAAATATCGTGGTTTGCCCTGATTTGCTGTCACTCCGCCCATAATGCTTCTCTCATTTTAAATAAAAAGTAAATAAAAGATTGTATTAACAGTTTATTGGTCCCTGTGGATTCTTTTACTAAGAAAATCTCCACCAAAGAAATCATAAAAATTGAACAGTCAATCTTTGAACTTTTGCATCTTTACCATCAAAGGAAATTTGAATCCAGGTTCAATTGACCTGATAAGGTAACGGTCTTACCACTTGAGCTGGGCTTTGATCTTTCGAAATTTTGATATAATCAACCTTTTTTTCAATCTACTAATTAACTTAGTTCTTAATTTATTTCTTTCAAATACCATACTTTAAACATATAGTGATCTCATTTTATAGTACATAGGGAGCTAATGAAATTAATTTAGTAAAATTTAATTGTCTCAATGCCTAGGGGATCGCACCAAAAATTCGAGTTCCTTTCGGATTTCATATACATGACATGATTATATATAGGATAAATTGTAAATTTCATCCCTTTGTCCAAAGTTGTAACCCTAGCCTGTTTTCCATCTAGTTTTAACCTCAACCTTTGATATATCGATAACCACAAATTTTATCTCTTGCACCACATTTTAATTTTATTTAAGATTCTTAATTTTTGCTCATTATAACACTAATTTCCTTAATGATTTATCATGTCATTCTTATTCTTAAACTTTTCATTAATTAATATATTTTGTATTTGATAACAATCTTAAGTTCAAAAATTCGTTGAAATTGTGTAAAATAACTTATTTTTCCATCACATTAAAAAAATAAAAATAAATAAAAAGTACGAAAAAATATTTTCACTCATTTCAAAGTATGAATACAAAATATTTTGATATAAATCATCATTAAGGACGAGAAGTATTAATTGATCAAAGGTTAAAGATAAGAATTTCATGGAAAAAAGTTAAGGAAATAATTGGTACAATTAGCAAAGATTGAGGAGCTTAATTGTAATTAAAATGTAGTGTATCAAATAAAAATTATGGTGACAATATAATCACTCTCGGTATATTAGCAAAATGTGGTCCATTTCGACAGTTTTTATCCGAAAATCTCTTAAATTTGTTGGAAATGACGATCTTGCTCTCTAACTTAAATTAACCAAAATATAATAAAAAGAAAAAAAAAAACAAAACAGGGAAAATATAACAAATAAGCAAAAGAGTGAAAAAAAAAAAAAGAGGTCCCCCTCACCCGTAACTAGAAGAAACCAAGTGGTTTCTCCCCCTAATCAATGGGTAGGAACGGTCATCATTGATGGCTGCTAAATACATGGGAAAATCTCGTGAACAGGGGGGAGGCAACGAAACCTAGGGGAAAAATCCCTTGGTTTCATCGAGTGGTGGGTTCGGGTTGTGGGGTAGGGGGAGAACCTTTTTCTCTTTCTTTTCACTCTTGCTTGTCTTTTTATATTTTCCTTTCCTTTCGTTTTTATTGTTTTACTTTGTTTTGGATTATTTTTTTGGAGACGAAAAATGTTACAAGGATCCAAATTTGCTAACTTATCGAAGGTTGAGAACAAAAACTAAGCAAGAAAGTTAGGAATAAGTTTACAACTTTGGGCAAAAGTTAGGGACGAAATTCACGATTTACCTTTACATATACTACAGTGCACAAAGTTGTCATTTAAATTGAGCACATATGTTGAAAAAATAAGTTACTTCTTTCATGTAGAAGATATAAAAACTTCAAATTAATATTTTTTTTTCTACACTTTAAAATAAATAAAAGGGCTGTTTCTAGTATTTCAGAAACATCATAAGAGGTCTCTCTGAAGCAGACAAATCTTTAGGGGAGTCAATGAAAACAAGCCCCAAAATAATGCAATCCAACAAAATGCCATTCTTCTCCCTGGTCCCACCTTCCATCACAAGTTTCAAGAAAGCAAAACTGGCATCTTCTAAAAAATTTCACGATTTGTTTCATATCCTATTTAGAAAGTTATCCTTTTGTGCTTTTAAGTTTATCATCTATCCTTGTATATTTAATGATAACTGAAATAATTTTAGACAAAAAATAAAAAAAATTCTTAATCGAGTAGAAAGACATCACGATCCTTGTGGAAAAATATAATGATTTATCGAGACGGAAAAAGAAAATATATTGATTTTTTAAAATTTTTTTTTATCGTAACCGTGAAAGAAGAACACGACAATTTGATCCATTGTTTTTAAGGTCGTATTGGCCGAATAAGAAGCTAGTCAAGGGCTGAGTTCATCTAGTAAAGCCATTTTCATCCAAAGTCTTCTCCTCATTGTATTGTACGAGAAAGTACCAATTAGAGCAACACTACCACCGTTAATAAATGAATAATGCACGGACGAGACAAGCCTAAATCATTCCTCAATTCACATACCAAAACCCATAACTCTGATTATTCCAACTTATCCACAAATCAGCAAATCTCTTCATCTTCTTCAGTTCTGCATAGTTGAGATGTTGCAATTGTTCTTTGCAGTGGCCTTTTCTGCAGTCCCTTTGACCCTTTATATTCCTCCAGTCAGAAGCCTGAATCCTTTCATCGAATTTTTAGAGGATATATGGAGGGAGTCAAGTTTTTATACTGGCAGGATGTTTCCTCGTTTGAGGTATGCTGGTACTAGGATCTTCAATTTTATGCTTTGTAATAATACTGGGTAGATTTTATAAGCAAGCCCCTCTTCCTATGCATTCCTCCAGTATTAGCAACCGTTTTTAAGTCTCGAAATTTTGTGGTTGGTTCTTTTTGTATCTTTACTATGCTTCTTTTAGTGTCAGGGAATGGTTTTGCTGTTGGTGCTAACTGTTCTTGAGGGGTTTACATTAAGATAACTTCTGTGTAATCAGAGAATGAATAAAAGAGAAATCTTTTGTTATTGTATATTGGCTTTTTTTTTTTTTTCACTCTGTTCTTCCCCATTTCTTTTCAGTTTTTATTTTCCTAAATTTTGTTATTGCAAAGGATTTTTCAAATATTGGGAGAAAATAAGGTGAATTGCCTAGTTACTATTATAGAATGTTTGGTAAGTAGGGTCGGCAGTATGAGAAAGAAAAATTAAAATCTAATATTTTCCTCCAGCCAATTTTGTCAAGTAATACATACATGGATAGGCAAGAAGAAGAATGCTATTTCTACGAAATGGAGTTACATGATTGTTTACATACATACTCTCAAAAAGCGAGTGCAAGTTTTATTTTTTTATTTGGTTAAAGAAACTATGACCCAATCATATTTCAATACACCCTGTGTATATTTAAACTATTATGTACAGGTTGCTTAATCGAGGCAAGAAACTATTTTACTATAGGATATCAAATCCCTGCATTTGGTGATAAGCTCATGAGAATATTTGGAGTTTAGGTGTTCGTAAAGAACTATCCCTGCAAGATGCCAGTTTGATGGATCAACAAATGATAGGCCAGAGAGATGGGTTCACTCGACTAGTTAATGATCCTGTGGCGTAACTAAAACTGATGTCTTAATCAGAAAGCCAAAAAAAAAAAAAAAAGGACAGGCGAACCCGGCTAAAGGAAAGGGACTTTAGCTTGGCTAAACCAACTGGGAAAAGGCATATTAGGACCTTTTTTGAGTTACTGGAGGTTATGGGTGATTTCATCCATGAGACCTTGCGATTTGATATAAATGGTGGCGTGCATCTTTTAGGAGAGTGGCACAGCCAAGCATCACCCTATAAAGGAATCATTTACAATTGCCCAACCAAAGTCTGGCCCAAGTTCTGTCTTGATCAAATTAGTAAGCTTGATTAGGTTCTGAAGCAAATTATATAGGGTTGATTTTACATTCATCTGTTTCTTGTGAGTTTGGTTCTAGGCATATTGTTTTTCCTTAAGACTGCAGAGCATGTATATTGAACTTGACCTTCTCCAAACATGGCTTTGTTCGTGTCCGATTCCTCCTCTTGTTATGTAATCCATTTCTCAATACATTTTAAACAAATGCAGATACTTGAATTAATTTATTTTGTTCAAACAGACATTAGTAACGTTTTAGACACAAGATCCGCCACATCAATACAATGCAAAAATGTCAAAAGTAACGAAAGTGCCAACATCTATGAAAGAAATCTAATTTATTTAGTGAAAAATAGTTTCAAGTAAGAAGGATTAAATTTTTATTGCATTTTGCATCGAACTACAGAATGAATCAGGAACAGTGATCAAGATGAAACAAGATAATTGAACAAGTAATATCCAAGATTTGTGGAAAACTGAAAGAATGAAAGAATGACTAAATAATTGCTCTACGAAAACTGTTAAAAAATCATTTGACTAACTTGAATTGGTGCAAGGCTTTAAGAACCAAAAAACATCCAAACTTCTTGCTTCCTTTTCAGCTAAAGCAGCAGCAACATGTCTTCCGTGGTTGTTCTTGTGCCTGAGTTCGTCACTCTTCTCCTCCTTGTCGTTAGGTTTGAGCTCCTGTAGAATTCCTCTCTCCTGAAGCTTTTCATTCATGTGATTCAAGTCAGTAATTTATACTCGTGTATGCATGATTTTGAGTTCACTTTTATGATCAATGCATACTTTGGAATGGCACCAACTCCATGCAAATTATAATATGAAGCACCATACAATCCAAGATAATGAATGGTCCTCAGCAATAATAAATTTATAAGTTCATGTGTGGTATGCAGCACTGGATATGACTAAACACTTTGATGAACAAGATTCTAGTTTCTTTTTCTTCCTTAGTAATAAACATGCCAAAATGTCCACCGTGGAGATTTAGACGGAATAAATCTAGTTACATTTGATTGGCCTAAAGTGAGAAAATAAAATTAATTCAGTTCTCTGCATATTCAACTTAATTTGGAGGATTTGAACAGTTTTTATGAAACATTCATGCATACCTGTGGTTTAGACCTATAAGACTTTGGCGTGGCTTTGGTAGGCCCGTGGCTGGCTGAGAAACATTGTGGAGTTGGAGGAGAAGTCCGAATTTGCAACAGGCTTTCTTCCTCTTTGCGCTTAATGTTCTTTACATCCACAGATATGGGGGTATTCTCTGCATCATCATTTCTTCTGCATCAAGCATACCAAAATGGTTAGCTCTCAAACATTATTGAGACTTCACACAGCCTACAGATCACATTTGGTGGTCGAAAGGGATCATATTTGACTAGTGTGTTCCAAACAAATACATTTAGTGCATGTTTGGTGCACATTATAGGGAGGATTTGATCTATAATGTAAAATATTGTCTTTTTTTTTTTTCAATTATCCATCCAATCCTTCCTACCAGTATGTACATGTACCATCACTAAGATGAAGATCTTGTCAGTTCAAAACACACTTTTATGCCTATATGAATCACTAAACATTTTGTATTTATCTGCATGCAGAACCAATAAGGAACATATAAAACAAGAAGAAGTAGAAGAGAAATTTAGGGCCTGTTCTATTTGCCATTTTCAAGTCGTTTTCTGTTTTCGATTTTTCAAAACAGTGAAAATGCATTTTCTTTCCTATTTTCGAAAACGCGCTTTTGAAAACAAGTTAAAAATTTACAAAGAAAACCGTGTTTTCAGTTATAATCAAATCAAAATTTTCAAAACGCATTTTGAGTGTTTTCAAAATAATTTTTCAAAATGTCAAAAAGAACACATTTTCAACAATCTCAAAATGGACACTTAAAACACAAAACTCAAAATAAATTGAAAACCCAAAACACAATTGAAATACAATGAGAACAGCCTCTTACTTTTTCCTTCTTTGCCTCTCTTTTGAGTTGCTCTTCTCAGTCGCTTCACTTTTAACTTGACTTGATTGAAGCAGTGGCTTCCTTTCCTTTTCTTTATCGTCCCAATCTCGTGAAATCTCTGCATTTCCCCCATTCACATTGTCTGCACCATCCTTTCCCCTCGTTGCCAGTTTCTTCAGTTCATTGCAAAACTCGGCAACCTTGTTCAGTAGATCTCCTCCGGAAAACAAATTCCGAGCTGACAATGTACTTCTAAGCCTCGGTGCTTCATTTTTCGTTGTCATGATATCATCAGTCTCTTTCTTCTTGTCTCCGCTTGATTTGATCCCCTCTTTCATTCCATGACCTTTGCGATTTGGAGGGGTCGCAAAATTGGGATCTTGATTTTCACTATCTTCAACAATCCTATTATATTTCGTGTTTGGTGATATGAATGGTTGATTCACCCCTCTCTTCTTCAGTGTTGCATCTCTGAAATTGCAAATGAGGTCACATTCTAAATTACACATGAATAACAGTTCAAATTATACTGCTTAGAGCTGGGTTTTTAATCAGTACCTTTTATTTCTGTCGCCAAATGGAAGAACCTCAGATACACTAGCTGCTCTCTGAAGCTGCACAAGCACCATATAACGATGAATATCAGACATAAAAAAATGAATCTCAGTTCCAATTTCGAACTCAAAAACTATGATGGAAGCTAGAAGAAATTGAGAGCCAGGACGAGGAAAAGGTCAACCTTATTGAGTAGCCCAAAACCATATATAGTAGTCTATATTTTCATCTTAATTCGACGTGAGATTTATCCCCTTAACAGACCACCCAAATACATACATAATTTGCCTCGAATCTAACCATAAAAATCTAAGAATTATAAGATTTCAACGTCCCAAAATTTTCTTGAAAAACAAGCACTAAACTTTACAAAAATCAAGAGAAAAAAAAAAAATGAAGCAATACAAACCTTAGAATTCGAAGTAGGAGTCCTTTCTCTCTCTTTAAAGAAATCTTCAATTGTCTTCGGATGATTACAATCTATAAACAAGAAACAAACAGAATCAATTAACATAAAATCATCCACTCAAGAACCAAGAAAATCACAACCCACATTGCACTCTATCTTCCATGAGGCTGTGTGTGCGCGCGTTTTGACTTACTGGGTCTGCAGAACCAGGCCTCGTCGTCAATTGTGTCATCGGGAACGGAGAAATCGATCCATTGAGGAGCATTGATGTGCTCATAAACTTCATCTTTCACAAATCTTGAATCAATGTTTTTCCAGTCTATTACTGCCACCTCCATTAAAACTTAATTATATATATGATACCTTGAAAATTGATATATACAATTTACAGATGAAAATTTTGTTTATAAATCGATATCTGCAGAACCGCAGTTGAAATCTGGATATAGAACAGTAATTTTAGAGAGAGAAAGAGGGAGTGACGAGTGAAGAGGAACGTTAGCTTGGGGACAGTGTACCGTTGAGAGGAAGGGAGGGAAGGGTCTTATTATTTTTGTATTATTAATTACTTTTCGACCGTTGGGGATTTTCATTTTTCTCTATTAGCCTTGTAAGATTTGGTCCACATGTAATGTAAGCACAACTTTTTTTGTTTTTTTCTTTTATTTCCAAAAATATATTTGATGTTAGATCCTGATTGGATTATTTAGATTTTATTCCAAGTTCTTTAAGAATAAATTGATTCAAAGCATTTCACAAGCTCCATTTTTTTTAATTTTTTTTTTAGTTTTGAATTTTACTTTAGCAAATAGCAATGTACCAAGAAATTAACTTGTTTCTTCCAACAAACATACAATAGTTATAGAGCACAATCAACATTGGTGTATCCAAATACCCTTTTTAGGGTAGTCAACATTACTTGCTTTTACAGATTTTATTACTGCATAAAGTTCTAGAGTTTAATTAATATATATATATAGATGTATATGTTTCTTGGTGATGCTGTAACTCCTCAAAAAATTTCAACAAGGAATGATATAATTCTGATTAATTTTAACGATTGAGATAAAACATTAGAATTGAATCTATTATAGATCATAATAAAGTGACTTGATTGTCACACTACAACGAAGCACCCAAGGTCACCAGTACCCAATCAACAAGTCTTTCACCTACATGTTTAATAAGAGTAGAAAACACCAATCACGTGACTTTAGGTCAAATATCACAATAATATCTAAATGCAGATATTGTAACCGATGTATAATCAGTGTCAAACGTTCATGCTACCTAAGTATGGGCATAATAGTTAACATGTAATACTAGACTGCAACAAGATCAATTGTTGGCTCTACTAGGAATGTTCTAAAGTTACTAGAACCATACAAATGAACCAAGATGGTAGTTTGGTGTGATTCTACTTAAATTCAAATCAATACTAATCAAGGATTGGTTAATTTCGATATGATTTTCGATTCTAATACTTAGAACCAAAAACTCGATTTTAACCCGAAAATTTTATTTTAATCAGTGGCCGATGCAATTCACCAACCATTTTGCATTTTCTTCTAACGTCACCATAGTACGCCAGATCATATCAATTCATTATGGTGTTATTTATAAGCCACATAGACTGGGGATGCATTCCCAATGAGGATGAATAACATTTATAAACTCAAATTAAGGAATCATTTAAATCACATCAATGTAATTTTAGATTAAAAAAAAAAAGTTGGGCTCCTTTGGCTCCTTCAAAGTCAACTTTTTTTCGGCCCTCATTGTATAAGGATAATGAAAGTAAAATTTTATTTATTTATTGGGTATTGAGCTCCCCCCTCCCTAATACCTTGAAAGTATTGTACAATTTTAAATATTGATATTTTCCCTAACTTGGGAACAGGGATATTCACTTGGAAAGGTCGGAGACCCAAACTCAAACTATATTTATCACATTTAGGGTGCAAAATGTCATTTTTCATGTTTGTAGGGCGTACTTTCGAAACCAATGAAACTTTGGGGTCGACCAAAAACCTGCCTCTTCCTTTCGTTATCTCCTTTTCTTCTATAGAAACGAACACACTATTTTTCTCCATCGAAGTATGCAGTAGAGATATAGGGGCGAGGGAGAATACAAGATATGTCGTGTAATTCAGTTACATTATCCTTCCTACAGACCACCTGGGTTAATACGCAACAGCAACTTACCAGTTCAGTTGCAGCAGTGACCCACCGGCCTCATGCTCTTGTAATCCAAAACCAAAACCAGAAGAGAGGACAGGACTGCCCGTCATGCTCGTATTCGTAAGAAGGCACGTAATTTGCTTATTCTCCATTTTTTTTGTTTCTCTAGTTTTTGAATTTGAATTTTGAATAATGGCATTGCTCAGTATGTGAAATTAAAGGGTTCCTAGAGTTAAGATTATTATCATGGAATGTAGTTGTAGAGCTTGAAAGGGAGGTCTTTTCATTTTCCGTAGTGAAACTCGGAATGGAAGTTCGTATAAGATCCCTCCTTCTGCATCAATTTTTCTGAAATTCTGGTTTTTGATAGTTGGGTTCATGAAACATGGATTTTGGGGTTGTGAACAAGTAGTTCCTTTTTAAAAAGGTTTAATTATAGAGAGTAGGAGCTACGCTTGACTTTTTGTATTTTTTTGGGCACCCTATTTTTCAGATAAATGGTTACTTGTACATGTTTCTCGTGGGAACTCTCCACATAAGTCATTTTTATCCAGAAACTAAAAGGAGTGTGTTAGAGCCATCTATACATCTCTTTTATTTTGAGTACTTGTTCCGAATTGAAGTTCAGATTGATTCTGCTCTCTTGTTTTGACCTTTTTTTTGTCTGGTCTATGGATTTTACATTCTGTGATGGAACTTAGATTTCATTCCTTTATTCAGATTAGTTTTTTCTCTGTCTTGTTTCCTGACTGCCAATGATGCCCCAACATCAGAAGTGTTGTTGATTTCTCGTTTTCTCAGGTTGAAGGAACACCAGAAAGACCAAGATTGTGTGTTTTCCGCTCCAACAAGCATATTTATGTTCAGGTGATTGATGATTTGAAGTCAACAAGCATATTTATGTTCAGGTGATCGATGATTCAAAGATGCATACCCTAGCTTCAGCCTCAACTATGCAGAAACCCATCTCAGAAGAATTTGACTACAGCTCTGGTCCAACTATTGTAAGTTGAATGATGAAAATTTCAGAAATTATGTTAGTACATATGTAGAGAAGCTTACAGATTCTTTCTGTCATTTTGCAACAAAAGAAAAGTGCAGTTTCAGAGTTCAATCACTTTGCAAAATAATTATCTTAATACCTCCTATTAAATGCTCACAAGTTGCTGAATTCCCTAATTGGGGAGGAGTAAATTTGGCGATCTATATATAATCACACACTAGTGAGAGAGATGCAGGAGTTCAAGGTATCTCCAGTCCTTTCTTAAGATTCTCAGCTGAAAAAAGATACTAGATGGGCAGGATTCACTTCTAGTATACACATGCATAAAGTTCAAGAGTTCTATCCCCTTAGAGGTTCTAACTTCAAATCCTTTTTTGTTCAACTCCCTCTAGAATCTCCCACCGATTTCAAGTTTACAATCCTTCTATTGTCTCTTCAATTTACCTTCCTGCAAAGTTGAATAAATCTGGAATCAATTGTCTAACCTAAGCAAGACTAATAAATCATGCTTGAAATATCTGCAGCTTTTTCGCATTGGACCATAATTCAAGTAACATCCAGAACTGAGCTTCGAAGTTAATTATATTTCTCTGAAGCAGTTTAGGACATCTCCCTTCCCAATTTCACATGTTAGTCTGACATTTACAGTTCCAATATCATCTAATACAATATCCTTAAAAACCATGACAGCACTTTACCTCCTTCAGCCAAACAATTTAAAATCATGTTGATTTCAGTTCAATTCAACAGACATGGCAATTTTGTGTGCAGGACTCATTCTGAAAATTGCTCTCTCACAAAGAAGTAGCATTTATATTTGTAAAACTAGGTAACATTCAAATTCTTATATATTTGTAAATTCTACTTTATTGTTAAGCATATGGACTGATCTAATCCTTTTAGTCACCTCGATCGCAAATTCATCAAGTAACTTACTAATTTTAAGGTATCAATCATCTACATCTAACGGCTCTTCTAATTCCATACCACTTCAAATAACAACGGAACATCTTAAGGACCTTCATTTTTGTATTTACAGAAAATGGTGACTGTAGAATGGAAATGAAAACATGTAAACACTTCTATTAATGCTGGTTAGCAGAAAATTATTCTAAATTCTGGTCTGTCAGCAGGGAATGCCAAATCACTAGTAAATTCTGAATTGTTATGGTCATTCTGAAATGTGATGCATTAATTAGTGATTTGGAATTCTGAATTAGGCGAATTGTTATTTATTTATTTATTTTTTATATAGTTTGCTTGAGATTATTTCGTTTTGATGAGAAAGTAGAGAATTTTGAAGAATAATAAAATGATTTCTTACATGATTTTAAGTCGATTTCCTTTATCATAATTTAGCTGATAAAATTTTATAATTACCTAGAAAAGCCAATTGCATCAGTTGAAGTTCTTCACGAGTAATTGATGTTATAATTTGATGAATTCTGTAGCCATATGTTCAAATGTATGCATCATCTACTTGTTAACAATTTTTTTTTCCAGATTATTGGTGCAGACTGTGGCTTGGTATACAATAGTTTACTGTCACAGACTTGAGTCAAATTTCACCCAGTGATGACATTGAGAGACCACCCAGCCAGCCACAAATGCACACAAATATACTGCACAAACACAATTCAAAAGCAGTAGGCAGTAGGCACAAATGAAAGCATAGAATGCAGTTGTTACGTAAAGCTCCGCAATCTCTGTTTCTGTCAACAAAGGAATGACAGGGAAGGCTGCAGGAACACAACTGCTATATAAAGAAGATTTGCAGCCGACACCCAAAACTGCTGGGCTATGGCTATGCTGTTATTTTGTACCTGGCAATCTGAAACTGCCCACTAGTAAACTCTGCTGGAAATTATTTAGACCCAAATATGCGGAATTAACATAGTAAAAGGCAACAAGTCACAATTTATTGTTTTTAGACGATTATTAAGATAATTAATCCAATTAACCCTTTGTTTAAACAATCACATAAACATATAGATCAAAAACAATAAATAACACCATGTATGATCACGGAGGAAAACCCCTTCTCAATATAAAAAACCTCCAAGCAAATTGTCAATAAAATCCACTAGAAAGCTAACTTACGATTAGTATGACACAGCTAAACATTAACTGACTGATGTGAACTCTAGTTCTGAAACCTACAAAAGATTGAATCATAACCCAATAAACTAAAATCTCGGTTTGAAGCTTGACCCAATAATTTATTGAATTAAGGAACTAAAGTTATAAAGAAACTTGATCATTTAATCACAAAATTTATGAACCTTGCTATGAAATTGTTGAACGCCACAAAGAGTACGAATCTTTGATAAGTTCGGATAGTGTGAACGCCACAAATGTTGAAAATATCTGATGAGTTTTGTTCAATTAAGAGCAAGATAGAAAGTGAAAAATTTCACATTATGATTAATTCTAAAAAATTAATGTCTTTATTGTACAATGAATGTACCTTTTATATGCATAAAATAAACTCCTAATAAAACAAAACTCTAATTCTAAAGACAAATCCAAATAAACTACAAAACTACAAAACAAATCTAAATAAAACTAAAATACTACAAATAACGGAAATACCCTCAAACTATCTCATAACATAAAAACGCAAAAATGGACCCCTAAATAATCGAATTTGACCCTCAAAGTTCGACAAAGTCATCCAACAAATTTGTGAAAAATTGAAAGACTTTTCCGGATTGTACTCATGAGCGAAAATCCGACAAACGACCTGAATGTTATAAGCATTTTTGTACATCCTATGCGTTTTCTCACATACTCCATATTCTTTCCATTTCCTAATTGGTTTCGGATCTTCTCTTCTAATTTATCCGTATCACTCGGAAACATACAATGGATCCTTGTTAGCTTGTCCTTCATGATTCTCATCATTCACTCTCTCTTCAAGAAGATTCGCCTTAGAATCATGATTCTTCTTGAAGTTTCTTCATTTTTCTTGACGTTTCTTTGCTTTTTTTTTTTTTTTTTTTGAATCGCTCTCTCTCTCTCTCTTTTTAACTCGAAAATAAAAAGAGACAAAAAAATCGGATTTTAGAGCTAAAGTTCTGATACCAACTGATGTGAACTCAGATAGTAATAGTAAACCCATAAAAGATTGAATCACAATCCCAAGAACACTAAAATCCCGGCTTGAAGTTTGACCCAATAATTTATTGAATCAGGGCACCACAGTTATGGAAGAATTGCCCCTTATTTATAAAAATTATGAACCTTGTTATAAATTTGTTGAGCACCACAAAGTGAAATTCTTGATAAGTTCGAAATTAAGTTAAATAAACAATAAGAAGAAAACAACCTTACTTTGATTTTATCTCTTAATAATTTGTTGTTTTACAATGAAAAGAATGAGCACTATATACAGGGAACTTATAAAAACCCTAATTAAAGCGTAAAACATAAAAAAAAATATCAAACAAATAGAATTCTAAATGAAAAAAGATTTTTGTATTGTGCGTGCTCACCATGTATTCTTTCGTGCGCACGCTGTTCAGTTGATTTGGCTACGGGTTGAAATTTTGCACATGTGCCCGTGCGCCGCTTTCTGGCTACACTCCAAGCTTCGCTTCTTCTAACTTAGCATGAATTAAGTGCACTAATCTTGGTTCCTCTTCCGTGCCCAACATGGAACTTGATGTTTTGCTTGTTGCAATCGAAGACTCAGCCCACGTTGCTTGAACAAGTAATCCATGGCTTCCTTGATCTTATTTACTCGCGATTTCATTATTGGTCCTTCTACAATCAACAGATCCTTACTATCCTTCATCCAATAATTCTCATCACTGATTCTGACCACCTGACTTGTAAATTACTAAGGAACTTCGTTGTTGTGTGACACGTACTTCCCATAAACTCTGGGCTGCTTTTCTCTCCGCGTTGATTACCAATAACGAACTCGTTCCGGAGCGCTAGACCTCCTAGCGCCTCTTTTTCAATTTTAGAACTCTGAAGGCTTAGGTGAAGGTAGAGTTTTGTTTGGTGTGTGATCAATGATCTTTTGTGTTTTGATCTATGGCTGAGACAAAAGATATATGGTTATATATTTGATCTTAAAGTATTTTTTTCCTTGACTAAATATAATAGTCAACCAATAACAATATTTTGGATGAATTTAAGAATCTAAGATCTTGGGAATGAAGCAAGAAATCAATAGATAGTCTATTGTATATATAATATGAAGTGTTTGAGGTTAAATAGGATTAGAAAATCAGCAAAAACCATGAAACTAGGGTTTCCCGGATTACACCCGTTGCTTTCTTGAGCGCCTATCGGGCAGCCAGCAAGCGGTCTATAAGTAGTCATCAATATTTTCATCGTAACTTTCTCTCTCGATATCGGATTGAGGAGACTGAAAGTGCGTTGAAAAACTAACTCAAATGGCTAGCAATTTTCCAGTTCGAATGTTTTCTACATGAAAGATACATGACAACTTGTGACTAAGAATTTGGAACATGACTTGTGCAATACTTTGACACTCCTTTGACTATTAATTGCATTCCGTTGATCATATGTGATCTTTTTAGACATTTTTTACTCTTCCAAGGACTATTGACTGAAAGTGCGTTGAAAAACTAACTCAAATGGCTAGCAATTTTCCAGTTCGAATGTTTTCTACATGAAAGATACATGACAACTTGTGACTAAGAATTTGGAACATGACTTGTGCAATACTTTGTCACTCCTTTGCCTTTTAATTGCATTCCGTTGATCATATGTGATCTTTTTAGACATTTTTTACTCTTCCAAGGACTATACTGCCAACCTTTAACTATTTTGACTTTAATTACAATTTCATTACTTTCATTTTGTTTGGAGCATGACTTGTGCAATACTTTGCCACTCATTTGACTTCAAATTGTATTCTGTTGATCATATGTGATCTTTTTAGACATTTTTTACTCTTCCAAGGACTATACTGCCAACCTTTAACTATTTTGACTTTAATTACAACTTCATTACTTTAATTTTGCGTAAGGAATAGCCAATTACAAATAGAGACCTAACAAACTTGGCTAAATACCTGCCATTTAGCCTGACATTGCCTCCTGACTCAGTTTTCTCGTAACTGCCTCCAACACAGTCAGTTTCGGTCATCGGGTGCAACCACCCCTGGAATTTGCAAACTATTTGAAAGTCCAAGCCTGCTGGCTCCACATCGGTCGCTTCACTGGAAGTCAACCCTAAGCAGTAGCTTGGATAGGTATGTCTACGCACGTTTGGCCATACCGCCAATGCCATGCTGCCCACAACTTGCTTGAGTGCATGTTGAGCTTTCCGCTTGAGTTGTGCGCCCGAATGCTGCCTGTAGCTGAACACTTTCATGCTAGGCAATCTGCCCATGACGTTCACCATCTGAATGTCAACCATTCCTCATCTCAGGGGGCTATCTAGCCACTTTCATGATAACCTAGTTGGTATCTCCTTAAATAACATGGATAGAACAAACTTGGATGATTACCTGCCAAGGAGGAACTGTGAGGAAAGAAAGATCAAACTTGAAGCTTTTCAGCCAGTATCGAAGAACCTTAACAAATTATGCAAGACTCCCTAAACCTCGTTGAAGATGGTTTATTTAAGTCTTAGAATTGACAGATATAAAACCGTTCCACGACCGTCTGTGTGCACTTCCCTAAAAGGGACTCTGAGAAACTGATTCCACTAGAAAGATGAATTTTTTAGTTCGAGGTGTATCTTGAAGTTAAATGGTATATCTTGAAGTTAAAGGCTGCCACCGTATATCTTTTAACCTTTCTTTCCTTCACATCCTCTAGTCTGAAGCTCAAATTTGATAATTTGGAACTTCACATATGGATTAGAAGAGCATGAAATGGAGAACCTCCAATTTACTCATTTAAATTGGAATACATATTTAGTGCTTGTTTATCTGATTTGTGGCTGAATAAAGTGTTCCTAAAACTCTAGAGTTTCTATCCATCAGATCAAATAAAGGAAATAAGTTATCTGAATATGCACCTGATTTCATTTACGTCCCTCAGTGTAAAATAGGAAGTGTTTTGACTTCTAAATTTTTGGTCTCAGGAGGTAGCAAAGAAGGTGCTATTGCAAAGTCCTGTCTTGAAAAAGGAATTACCAAGGTGGCTTTCGACAGAGGGGGTTACCCCTATCATGGACGGATTGAAGCCCTTGTGGATGCTGCTAGGGAGCATGGTCTGCTGTTTTGAAACTGTGGCAATTAGTTTTACGTAATGCCAATCTGTAACACCTGTTCTTTTCAGTTTTTTGTTTTGTGAAACTTTACAAGCGAAGAATGATCAGAATGCAGTTCAAGAACTGGGTTATTAATTTTTTCTTCGCGTTCATCTTTAATTTCCATCAAAGATTTATAACTGGAGAGGCCAATTTTGAGGTAATCCTTGGTCTTCCTAAAGCTTTTATGCTGACTAACTTTTTCTCTTCCTCCAAGTTAAGCTCCTAGGATTAGAACCAACAAAGTGAAGCAAACAAACCCTTTAGGCTGCTAGTTTCAACTTTGATCTATAATCTATATATGAATGAACATTGTTTCTGGCTATCAGCTTTTCTTGAACCCACATCCATATCGATCAAATTTTTCGAATGTCAGTAATAAAAGAAATCACTTGAATTTATTAATTCTGAGCGGTGATCTGCAAAGCATCATATTGGACAAACTTTGCATTAATTCTAAGCTTGCTTGCCGCAGCTCGAAATGTGTTGGGCCATCAGTCGCTGAGTCATCTTGGTGTCACATACAACAATCATTTGGCTGATTGCTCTAATCCTCAAACAACGTATCTTGAACTTGATTTGCAATGCAGAGGCATAGAGCTATAACACAGGCTTGGTAAAAGTTCAAACACCCAGTTACTGTGCACAGTCGTGTACTGATGTGAGCTGGTCTAGGTCTCAATTCAGTCCACTTTTGTGCTTCCACTCCTCAGTGACAGTGGGTGTGATGTGCCAATTTTGGGAATGCCAAATTGAATGTGTGAACTTGTCACTCAGACTCATGAACAAAGCATTGTTCGTCAATTCAATGAAGATTCATTGAAGGAGATTTGCTGCAGATTCATTTGGTGAAACTAGTTGATTGGACAAAATTATCATTGGTGGTACTTAGTACTAGTCTAGGTAGCAGTTGACTCATTTAGATTTTTTTAATGAAATTAAAATACATCTTACTATATTGAATAAGTTTAGGTAAACCTCACTATCACCCAAACTAGTGCTACATAACATTATTCGTCTTAAATAAGACACGTGCAAGGCACATCATCATTTAAGGGCCAAATGTGATGGCTCTTGAAGGAAAGGACTGATTCCACAAATGAAAGGCTCATATGGGATGTGATTGCAAAAGTTCAGACGATAAGTCCGAAATCCGCGAAAGTGCAAAACATCAGGTACCATTTTTGCAAAAAAGCCAAAGTAACTGATTTTTGTGTCAGATTGAGTGAGATGTCCTATAGAGCTGTTTATTCTTGAATATATGTTGATTCATCATCCATGTTAAATTTTGATTGAACCAAAAACGAAATTTAATGACCATATTTATATTCCATAACAAGTTCAGTGATCATCAATTTTTTTTAAATTCAAAATTTTAATGAGATCATGATTCCAAATTTCAAATATATTCATGAGAATTTTCAAGAAAAAAAGTACAAATACATATGGAAATTAAAATGACTATAACATTATCAAACGTTTAAAATCTGTTTTTTCATAAAAATATCTCGTTTCAACAGCTGTGATGCATCGACGACATGTTTGCTTTCTTATACAATGTACCTTCATAATTCATGCTTAGGAGCTGGCCTAAGGGATTAAGTTGAACTGGAGGACTCGAGATAACTTATTTATTACACACCTCTTTCGCGGGTTGGACGTGTTTCCACCAGAAATCAGACAACGGCATCTTCAAGACATCCCAATATTCCTTATTACGGTGTAAACTGAACAAACTACGGCCATTCAAAGTCCACACGTAAAGCTCCATCCAATCTCGGTCCAGAATTTCCATCAAACCTTGAGCTTGTGGAATATAATAAAGTTGTATTCGTTTCCAAGGGGTAGCTTTGCTCTTATCACCATCAAATAATGGACATTCGATCTCAAGAACCCCGACAGAAGACAAGCCATAAATAAGGCTGTCAAAAGATCCATCAGGGGAAGCTGCAAGCCAATTATCATTCCGGTAGACCTGGAATTCAGGAAATGATACTGTTTTTCGAGTTAATTTCTCATAGCTTTCTAGAGCTCTCTTCATTGATGTTGCTCCAACAGGAAGCCAAATTACCAGCGAATGGTTCGATTGCACCAAGCTTCTCTAGCCATAGTTGGATTCTTCTACGAGGCCAGAAGTCAACAGCCATAGCAAAAGTGCTTGCTGTAAGTTTATGCTTTCTCAATCGTTGCCAATTCTTGAACCTATTCCGAAGACCACGGCATTCAAGAACAGGATCAGTTTCACTATAAAATATTATAGGAGAAACACCACTCTGACTGCTTCTATAAAAGATGGTGACTTCCGTCATAGAGGGAGGATTTGACAAAGCTCTTGAACAGCATAGAAACTCATCACATATTGCCATTAAGGCTATTAAGTTATATTATAATTGCTTTTACCACATTTGCTTTTAAAGACATGCACAAATTATGATTTATGCTGTCTTTAAAAGTGTTAGGTTTTTAATGTAATTGGCAAATTTGTGAACAAACAAGAATTAATGTGTTGTGAAAGTCAAGGAGTAAGTTGTAAATACTATTACTTGAGTTGTGTTAGGTCTAGGATTCTAGAATGGAAAGAAGGAAAAAACGGCGCCGCAATTTCGCTAAATTGTCTCCATGACTTTGCTTGAGCGGTAGAAACCTAAATATTATCGCTCGCCTGTCGCCTTGCCTTCGCTCGAGCAACACACTGTCGCTCGCCTGTCGTTCAACTTTAACTTGAGCGATAGTGTTTCCCCAAAAAATTTAATTTGCGCTTTTAAGGCTTTTTGTCCGACCCATTCAATCCTAAACCTAAACTATAAATACTAGCAAGCCTCTGAACGATTTTTTCAAGGGGTTGATCATTGAGAAAATACATATTGCTTCATATCCTCTTCATCAAATAAGTTTTTAATCTTCACGTTTTGATTTGATTTTGACGTTGAAAACATCAAATCAATAATCCAAATACTAAACTGTTACTTCCTACACATCCGTCAGAGTTCTGAAAATCAAGGGAAGGTGACTGAATTTCTAGTTGTTGGAGAATGTGGAGTTTTTCGTTGATCCACAGGAAATAGACGAATTCATAAAGTCGGGAGTTGGTGTAGAGTACGCAATCCAAGAGAGATGTGAAAATTGCAGTCAGAAGGTCAGAAAGTGCTAGTGGTAGTCGTGTTTGGCGGATTGTAAGTTCATAATTCGTTTATAGTGGATTGTAGACTGACAAAGTGCTCGGATTTTTTACCCGGTTGGAGTTTCTCCGTGATTATTTTGGTTGTTTATTTATTGCTTTCATATAACTGCAGTAATCTAACTTAGAAAAATTGATTGGGTTCATTAATCATCTAGAGATAATTAGCAGTGACTTGTTGCTAGTTAATTATTAATTTTTAATTCTGCATAATCAATTATTCACTCCCATTCTAGGTGTAATTTGGGTCCAACCTCGTAATTTCAATTGGTATCAGAGCCACATTTCGATTCCTAACCCACAAATTAATCTAGATGAATCAATCTCTATCCATGCCTCCATTTCTTACGGAAGCAACTATATTTACTGGAAAGTTCAAATTAGAGCATTCCTTAAAGCATTGGATGAGCATATTTGGATCAGTGTACAAAACTGTTGGACTGTATCTTCATTCACTGTTTCTAGTGTTGTTACACTCACTGACATTTCTCTTTGGACCAAAGATCAAGTAGCTAATTGCAATTGGAATAATAAAGGGATTTTATGCTCTGTTTATGACTGTGTCTGCAGAGGAGTTTAGGAGAGTGTCGATGTGTGAAACTATTAAAGAGGTTTGGATATCTTAGAGACCACACCGAGTGTACCAAAACTGTTAAGAACTCCAAACTGCAAATGTTAACCTCTAGGTTCGAAGAAATTAGAATGAAGGATGATGGATCGTTCGATGAATTCTATGTGAAACTTAATGATATAGTAAACTCGAGTTTCAACCTAGGTGAGAAGATCCTCGAGTCTAAGATAGTCCAAAAAGTCTTTAGATCCCTACCTGAAAGGTTTAGACCTAAGATCACCGCTATTGGAGAAAGTAAGGACTTATATGAAGTTAAGATAGAGTAACTTGTAAGATGTTTCCAAACCTATGAACTCACCATTTATCAATCAAAGAAGGTTCAATCCATAGCCATGAACACCATTAGGGAAGAAGAGAGTGAGTCTACTGACACTGAGACCATTAAGGACTACGAAATAGCTTATTTCGTTAAGAAATTCCAGAAGGCGATGATGAATATGAGAAAACCTCACGATATGAAAAATAACGTCCCTAGTAAATTCTCGAAAGATAAGCATGAGAAGAATAACCCTAGAACTTCTAGTAAGAAAGCCCAGTCAGTTAGATGTCATGAGTGTTAGGGTTTTGGTCACTATAGGAATGAATGTCCTAATTTGAAGAAAAATTTGAATAAAGAAAGGGGTAAGTCATTAGCAGTGACTTTGAGTAATAATGAATCAGATTCGAGTGTTCAGAGTGATACCTCTGGCTGTGAGGATGAACAAAATTTTATGGCTTTCACGTCTATAGCTAAGATTGAATCTGATAAAGAGAGTGAAACAGTGGAGAATGATGAACAAAGTGAGAATTCTGAGGATGACTCTAAAGATGAGACCGATATTCATGAATTTTATCAACAGCTATTTGAGGATAGTCTTAAAATCTAGAAGGTCAATAAGGCTCTACTAAAAAAGGTTAATGAACTTGAGAGAGAGAGAGAGAGAGAGAGAGGTGACCTTCAAGATTCTACCAAAAATTTGGATGAGTTGAAACTTGTTAATGAGAATCTTGAAGCTAAAGTTAAATCCTTATCAAGTGATCTATAAAAATCTAATACTCAACTTCATTCCTTCATTAGTGGTACTCAGAAACTCGATAATCTGTTAAGGATGAAAAAGCCCGATAGAAATAGGCACGGTCTAGGATATGTTCTAAATGATAATACTACTGTTAGTACTTCTAAGATCACGTTCATCCCAACCACCAACAAAGTTAGGAGTACTGCTAATCCTGAACACAAGGGCAAGAATGTTTTAGGATCGAGGCCTACAGACAACATAGGAATCGTCCTATAAATCGTCAACAACCTCCGAGTAGGTTTGAGCCTAGGTTTATTTCCACTATCACCATTGTGGTGCACTGGGACACACAAGACCTATGTGTCATAAAATCGGGGACTAGTAATAAAATTTAGTATATCTCAAGCAAGGTTAACTTCCTCACCAATCAGGTTAGCTACTTAATTGAGATTATGACTTAGTTAACTAGAATCAACTCTACTTATAAGAAAGTTTGGGTTAAGAAAAATGATCTCCCTAGGTCTAATGATTAATTGAATTGCTATGTTGCCCACGTTGCACATAAAGCTCCAAATGACTCTATATGGTATCTTAATAGTGCATGTTCTAGACATATGTGTGATAGACTTGTTCTCCACTCTCAATGATTGGAATGGCGGTATGATTACTTTTGGAGACGGGGCTACCGTACCTATTCTACGTAAAGGTACCGTTAATATATCTAGATTACCTGCTATCTCAAATGTGCTTTATGTGAAAGGTTTAAAGTCAAATTTGTTAAACATTAGTCAAATATGTAACGTTGATTTTGAAGTTAGTTTTGTCCAGAAAAGGTCTGTTGTGTATGATTCTACTGGTAACGTTGTTCTCGAAGGTGTAACAACTTCTAACAATTGTTATGGAGTTCTTCCTAATTCCAATTATGCATGTAGCAGTGCCAAGATTAATGTGACAGAACTGTGATATCAACGCCTTGGTCATATGAACTATAAGAGTTTGTCTAAACTTGCTAAGAATGAACTTGTTAATGGTTTACCTAAGCTTGAAAATAATGAAACCACTTTGTGTGGACTATGCCAATAAGGTAAACATATTAGAGTAAATCATAAACAAACTTCAAAAATCTTGACAAACAAGCCACTAAAATTACTCCATATGGACTTAATGGGACTATCTAGGATGAAGAGTCTTGGTGGTAAACGATATATTTTGTTGTGGTAGATGATTTATCTCAATACACATGGATTGAGCTGTTGAGAGAAAAATTTGAGGTATTTAGTCTTGTCATATTTTTGTGCAAAAGGCTTAGAAATGAGAAAGATTTCACAATATTTAGAATTCGGAGTGATCATGGAAAAGAGTTTGAAAACTCCAATCTTGAGAACTTCTGCTTGGAGGAGAAAATCCAGCATAAGTTCTCCTTGCCAATCACTCCACAACAAAATGGAGTTGTTGAAAGGAAAAATCGTGTGCTTCAAGAAATGGCTAGAGCCATACTTCATGGTAAGGGACTAGCTATGCATTTATGGGGTAAATCCATCAACACTGCGTGTCACATAGTGTACAGGGTTTATCTTAGACCTAAAATTGATAAAATACCATGTGAGATCTGGAATGGTAAAAGGCCAACTGTTAAGTACTTTAGTGTGTTTGGCAGTAAGTGCTATATTCTAAGAGATAGAGAGAATTTAGGCAAGTTTGCTCCAAGAGTGATGAAGAAAAATTCTTAGGATACTCTAGAAATAGCCGAACCTATCGAATATACAATTATCGCACACGGGTTGTGATGGAATCCTGATGCTTGCAGTGAAAGGGAGATTGAAAGAGATTGAGAAGAGTTAGATCACTTGAGTATAGATCCCATCACGGTAACTGAACCTAAAGAAACTTCAATTCCCGATTCTAAAGGCCTACAAACCTCCAATGAGAAGTTCTCACCTGACGATAAAAATAAACCTCCTAAGGAACTTTCGTCTAGTGTTATTGGGGATTTAGATGAAGGGATGAGAATTCGTAAGAGGGTTTTAAACAACCTGACATTTGCTAGTTATGTGTCTCAAATCGAGCTTAAGAAAATAAAAAAATGCCCTTAGTGATGAATGTTGGGTAAATTCGATGCATGATGAGCTAAATCAGTTTGTGAGAAATAACGTATGATATTTAGTTCCTAGGCCTGATAATTCCAATGTTATAGGTACTAAGTGAATATTTAAGAATAAAACTGATGATCAATGTACCATAACTCGAAACAAGGCTAGGTTAGTTGTCCAACGATATACTCAGGTTGAATGAGTTGATTTTGATGAAACATTTATCCCGGTAGCTCAACTTGAATCCATTATAATTTTTCTGGCTGTTGCTTGCACTTTAGGATTCAGATTATATCAAATGGATATCAAGAGTGCTTTATTGAATGTAATATTTCAGGAAGAAGCCTATGTTGAACAACCTCAAGGATTTATTAATCCTAAATTTTCACATTATGTTTATAAATTGAACAAAGCCTTATATGGTCTTAAACAAGCTCCTAGAGCTTTGTATGATAGACCAACTGCATAT